GTCACAACAAGGCAGCCTACTTTTTAAAAGCCAGAGAGAGGAGAGAAGGGAGAGAGAGCGCTTTTGTTCAAGACTTTCTCCTAAAGGGCTTGCCTGATTAGGCTAGGCCCACCCAAGATAATATGTCTTTTGAGTAACTCAGAGTCAACTGATTAAGAGTTCTTATTACATCTGTAAAACCCCGTCATCTTTATCATATTCCATTGGTTAGAAGCAAGTTACAGTTCCTACTACAGTCAAGGAGTAGGGATTATGTAAACTAATTGGGAGTCATCCTAGAATTCTGTCCTACCACAATCTTGTACTTAGTATGGCTAATCATATTAATATGTTAATGTAATATTTACAAGTTAAATCACTTGACATTCCTAGAGCAAATTATGCTTGGTTATAATGTATAACTCTTTAAAAATGCTGCTGGTTTTCTTTCATTGGTAATTTCTTATGTACCTTTGTTCTCAGATTAAGGTACTCAGAGGAGATTGATCTGTAGTTTCTTTGCCATTCTTACAGATTTGATAACAAAAAGTGAAGATAACATTGTAAAACACATTTGAAAGTCTACTGTATCTTTCAGGGCTCAGTCAGGGAAACAGAATCACCACAAATATTATGAGAATAAGAACGAGAACTCACATGGATCAGAAGAGATCTAGGAACGTAAAACATGGGGTGAAGTGAGGGGAAGTAGAAGACTCAGAGGAGCCATGATTTACCTGTTGAGCCTGGCTGGCTAGATGAACGGACAAGTTAGAGCTCGAGGTCCTGGGGGTACTGCTGGAAGACAAGCTGACCGTAAAACAAAAGCGAGGTGAGGCCATGCCAGGACCCACCAGGCAGCTCTGCATCTGTCTGACACGGTGGATGCCCACCCCAACCTCTGATAATGACCTCAGCTTCCTTCCCACCCTGGGAAGCTCATGTGAGTTCCTCCTTGGTCATTCTGGGAAGCAGCGTTTTGGGTCTCAGACAAGAGTGGTCGTGCCAAGTTGACAAGGCACAAGCCAGGTCCACCTTTCATTTTCTGATGTTTGAAATGATCCTGACAGCATGGGAAATACGTTCCTTGACAGATGGAAAGGACTTGCCCATAAATCTTTGGATGCCGGACAGGGTCACAAATAGACATGAAGTAAAAGATACAGAGGAGACAAGTTTTCAAGTTGGGCAGAGAGAGGGCAGATTCCTGGCCAGTTACAGCCCTCTCCCGGCTCACAGGGAGCACTGGTTTCTTACCTTCCAGCTGAGAGCCGGAGTGATCCCACAGAGGTGGAATTACTTTTTGGAGCAAAGGACAGGTGGATGCATACTCAGAGAGTGCCTGGAATGGGAACAATTGCTTTCCTTCACCATCCGTACAGTTTTATCCTTTCCTCGTCAACCTTTTATCTATTATTTTCTTTTTTTTTTCTCAGAAGTTTAGATGAATCATTCACTTTCATTGTCGTTTTGGTTTTGTTTCAGTCAACCACTCCTTCACTGGTTCTTTGTTTCATGTTTTATGCTGTCTGGATTATATACTCTTCACATATTTTCCTCTCAATTACTTAAAATGTATACATGAAGACTTAATGATTCTAGTAGTTATTTTCTTTATAGTTAGAGAAACAAAGGTTAAGGTAGAGCTTTAAGTAATTGAAACCATAACTATCTCTTGTTTCATAGTTACTTTAAATTCCCTGTCTAGTATCTTTGTCGTATCTGAGTCTGTCTTTAACATTCACGTTGTCCCTTCAGATGGTTCTACCTTGCTTTTTAGCATGCCTTGTGGCATTTTGTTGAAAGTCAGACGTATATTGGGTACTAAAAACTGAGGTAAAAATCCTTAATGCGAGGGTGTATGTTAATCTCAGTAGGATTTGGGCTGCATTTAATGTCTGTTGTAGCTGTAAGTACCAGAAGCTTCGGACTTCTCTGATGTCACTGTTTTTGTCTCCCTTGTTGACTTTAGACTTCCCTGTGAACTCCTCCTCAGAAAATGTGTGTCTGCAGCATGTTCTGTTGTTATCACCCACCCCCCACCATTATGATAATAACCCCACGGGTGTCATGGCAATGTGTAGAAGAGCAGGGTCGTTCTATACTCTGATTAAATCTCAGTATTTTGGTGGGCTTGCTTCTCAGAGTTGAGACCTTCACCAGTGCTGATCCACTTGTGGAATGACAAGTGCCCCTGCTCCCTTCCTGGCTTCAGCGTTCCCAAGCCACTTCCTTGAAACTGTAACTCCAGCGTACCATGTTCTCACGGCTACCCTCTGGAGTTGCCACAGGACGCTGGAGAGACCTTGAATGGGAGGAATAACCTTCCTCGGCGGGGATCAAGCTTCAGAACAAAAGTAAGTGAGGAGCTTGGAAGTTACCATTTCCATTCCAACAACAAGAAAGTGGGGCAAACTGGAAATCAAGACTTTTCTTAGACTCATCAACGAGGTGGTGGGACAAAGCCACTTTGATACCTGGAGGAATGGGGACATCCTGCGAGACACCAGTGGGAAGTCCAGTGGGAAAAGGACTCCCCATTGTCACCATGTGGTATTCTTGTAGCCTTTCCATGAGAACTTGGCAGCCTTCCTGGAGGCAAAGCTCACCAAGTTATGGGGGCTTCCCTAAGACTCCAACCGCAGTAACCACTCGTTCTCACGTGAGTCTACATGCAGCCTCTGGCAAATCCTCAGAGTCATCATCGGAGCTGTCCTGTCAGGTTACAGCTCCTGTGGCTTCAGCTCCAAGCAAACGGACATCTGTTGTGGTGTCTCGTGGATGGCCCCGTCCCGCCAGGTACCAAAGTGGCTTTGTCCCACCACCTCATTGATGAGTCTAAGAAAAGTCTTGATTTCCAGTTTGCCTCACTTTCTTGTTGCTGGAATGGAAACAGTAACTTCCAGGCTCTTTACATGTTGGAACTGAAAAGGAATGTCTTTGTTATCTTTTTAACATAGACACGAATGGAGTGTTTTATCAGTTATTTTGATTAATTCAGATGCAAAGTCTAACCAGCCACCGAACAGATAGAAATCTGAAGCTCTGGGTTCACTGTATAAATGTTAAGTACACCTTTGTGTATTATTGTTTAGAATGGGAATTGATGACAATAATGGTCTGGGAGGAAGCACTGAAGATTTTATTATAGGTTATGTCTAGCCGGACTCAGTGGCTCAGCCTGTAATCCCAGCGCTTTGGGAGGTCGAGGTGAGTGGATTGCCTGAGACTACAGGTTCGAGACCCGCCCAGGCAACTTGATGAGACCTCATCTCTACAATAAATCAAAAATTAGCCGGGCGTGGTAGCGCGCGTCTGTAGTTCCAGCTACTAGAAGGCTGAGGCGGAAGGATCGCCGGAGCCCAGCAGGTCAAGGCTGCAGTGGCGGGGAGCGGCCACTGCACTCCAGTCTGGGTGACAGAGTGAGACTCCAACTCAAGAAAAAAAGAAAGGAAAAGATCATGTCTATTACAGTGTGAATTCTGGGCACTTCTTCCTTTTTTCACTCTTGTAGACATGTTCAAGCCAGACTCATGGCCTTCTGCAAAAAAAGAAAAAGGAAAAAGTTGTTATCTGTGGGGCTCAACGGCTCTCCCGAAATCACAGAGCAAAGTTGCCAGTCTAGGTCACAGGTCTCATGCTCCCGGGACAGGCCCATCTTGGTAAATGGACACATGTGAAGGGAAATGTCAGAATTTAAAAATAAGTCACCAATCATGAGACGCAATCGTTATTTTTCAGAAACAAGTGTGAGAGGTATACACTATGAAACTGACCTAAGCAAGAGTTGAGATGCAGAATTGCACAATGGCCCCTTGAGACAGGAGGCGAGGGACAGGTACAGCCGTGACTGCAGGCCAGCCCCTGCGCGGCATGCCCTGGTGTCCGAGACAGGCTTCTCAAGGTGGCCTGGGCATCTCCTCATGTGGCAAGGCCGGAGAGATTATAAGGAGGAGGAAATTAACTTTGGCCAAATATCTACTATACTGCATTTCATTCACTCCTCTGCTCACTCTTGTGTAAGAGTAATTGAGTGGGGACCAACGGGAGGTCCAAACTTTACTTGTACAATGACCACTTGTGTCCTCACTTATACCCACATCTTTAAAATAAATAAATAAATTTTTAAAAAGAATAATCAACGAAGCATTCTTTACTTATTAATGAATGAGCAGTACATTCCATGTTCTGTCCTTGGTGCTGCTGATCGACAGATAAGTGGGACCTAGTCCATTCTCCGGGAGCTTGTCATGCATTGGGGAAGGCAGGCAGGCAGCCAGGTCACTGTTCCAGCGAGATATGTGCTAAAGAAGTCTTTGCAAGTTTCCTTGGAATAGCTTTAGACTCCTCTGAGTCTGAACCCTGCCCGGGTGGAGACAGGGGATGGCAGGAAGGGTGTCCTACACCTGGGTCATGAGATGCCATGGGAGAGAGTGGGCATGGGGGTGAGAGGGAAGGGTAAGGGAGGCAGGGGAAGAGCTCACGTGCAGGCTGGAGGCCCAGGGTGCAGGGAAGCCTGACGTACTCAGGAAGTGTCTGGTTCCATGCGCACACCACTTAGGGTGAAGTAGCTGGGTCAGGATAACGTCTTGGTTCTTGGGCAACGGGAGTGATGAAGAGATTTCAGCAGGACAGCCTCCTGGTCAGATCTGTGCTTAAGGGAGATCACTGTGGTAATTACATAGGAAATGGATTGGTTTATATAAGACTGGTAGCACAGAGACTGACTGAGAAACTCAGGCAGAAGTGATAAGAGCTCAAAGTAATGGTAGTGGTGAGGGAGAAAGACTAGAGGACTGAATAGATGTTAAGGAAACAAGATGGCAGCATTGAATGGCCAACCTGATGAAGAGGGTGAGGGAAAGGGATGCATCTGTATAACCCAGATCTAGGTGGGAGGTAATGAGAGATGGGTTGTTCTATTTGTGTGATAAGAAACAAAGAGGAACCTTTGGATGTGTGGGGGGGGGGTTAGTATAGAATGACTGCAGTGTGAGTGTGTTGAGGGAACTTCCGATCGGATGTATCCAAACTTTGGAATTGAAGAAAGACCGACACTTGGACGGAAGACGCTGAAGCAGACGCTTGTCACTGCCCTCCCAGTCGGTATTCCTTGGTCCACCCAGAAGTTGCTTGGGTGCAATTCCCATTCAGAACTGTGGCTTTCTGTGTCTCTCTGCCTGAGACAGTCTCTGGCCATGGGTGTTGTCTGGCATCTTCCCAGAGGAGAGGACCCCTCGGGAACAACCCTCAGTTGTGAGGATGCTGCTGGATAAATGTCAGCTTCTTGGAGAGAAGAATCCACTCTGCGTGCATTCTATGTCATCGTTTCTCAAAGTTTAACCCAACGCTTTCCCCCTGGAAAAAAATTGTTAAAACTCAGATTCTGGACTCCCTTCAGAGACTTGAACTTGGGCTCTGATTTATTAGGTCTGATGGAGAGGAGAAGGATAAGATTTGCAAATTTTTTTGTTGTTTTTTAGAGATAAAGTTTCCTCTGTCACCCGGGCCTGATCTCTTCAGTGGCACGATCCTGGCTCACTGTAACTTCAACCTCCTGGGCTCAGAGGCTACTCCCACCTCAGACTCTTGAATAGCTAAGACTACAGGTACAGCCACCACACCTAGCTAACTTTCCTTTTTTTAATAGACAAAGTGTCACTCTGTGGCCCAAGCTGGTCTTGAACTCCTGACCTCCCACCTTGCTTCCCAAAGCACGTGGATTATAGATATGAGCCACCACACCAGGCAAGGATTTGTATTTCTCTACAGGTCAAAATCACAACAAGATATAATGTTACCCCAGTCAAAATAGCTGTTATTAAAAAGACAAAAAAAAAAAAAAGATGCCGGTAAGGATGTGGGGGGAAAGGGAACTCTTATCCACTATGAATGGGAATGTAAATTAGTATAACCACTATGTAAACCAGTATGGAGATTTCTCAAAAAACTAAAAATAGAACCACCATACAATCCAGCAATTCCACTACTAGGTATTTCTCCAAAGAAAAAGAAGTCAGTATATCAAAGGGATGCCTGCACTTATGTGTTTATCCCAGCATTATTCACAATTGCAAAGATATGGAATCAACCTAAGTGTCCATCAGTATACAGATGGATAAAGAACATGTGATATATGTGTGTATGTGTGTGTGTGTATAATTAAATATATATATATGAAATGTCTACATTGGAATGCTATTTGGCATTAAGAACAATAAAAATCATGTCATTTGCAGCAACATGGATGGAACTGAGGGCCATCATGTTAAGTGAAATAAGCCAGGAACAGAAAGATAAAAATGACATGCTGGGACCCATATGTAGGAGCTGAAAACTTGATCTCATGAAAATAGAGAATAGAATAATAGATCCCAGAGACTGGGGCTAGCGTGAAGGTGGGAGAGGGAAATGTAGAGAGGCTGGTGAATGGGTACAAGGATGCAGGTGAATAGAAGAAGCAAGTCCTAAAATTCGATAGCAGACTAGGGTGACTGCAGAGAGCAGCAATATGTGTGTGTACTCCAAAGGAGATAGAAGAAAGAACTTGAGATGTTACCAACACACCGAGATGATAAATACGCAGTGATAGACATTCCAGATTCCAGACTTGATTATTACACATTCTATGCATGTAACACATACGCATATGTACCCCATAACATGTGATATGTTCTACATCCAGAAGATAAAATAACGTTTGATTTGCATTTCTAGCAAGCTCTTCCGTGCAGTGGCTCTCATAGGGAGCCCGGGGTTTGCTCCCAGTTTTGGGGAGGGGCAACCCTCTTATTTAAAGCTGACGTTATTGATTTTCTCCCTTTCCTGTCTTCCTTCCCTCACCTGACTTCTTGGGATCACACCCCAAATGAACTGCTGGCACTCAAATCCTTGTCTGAGGTCTGCTTTGGGCAAATCCTAATTATGATAGCTACTAAGGTCCCCATCTTATCTGTAATAAGGGAATAACTGGGGAAACGACTCAGAACTGTCATCAGAATTAGAACAGATAAGACATGCGTGAGGAAGCCGGGCTCGGTGGCTCAGCCTGTAATCCCGTGCTTTGGGAGGCTGAGGTGAGTG